ATCTGCATTAATATTAATTGTTTTCGTGTCATGAACTTTGTTCGATGTTTTGTTTTTTTAAATAAGATATATAAGAATCTCATAAATAATACAAGGGACAGATACTAGTATATATCTAAAATAAATAAAAAATCAATAACAGTATACCCATTACCCTTCTCTATTTTCCCTAGCAAATAAATTCCAATTTAAATTTCATTAGATGGATTTCAAGGACGATAAATTCTCCTGAGTGAACAAAGACAAACAAGAGTGCATGATTTTTTTAATCAGCATATTTATCACTTTTGGTTCTTGAGTTAACTTTTCCCCCTAGAAAATCTTGATTTATCACAGTCCATTGGTTATGGAGAAGGTTACAAAACTCAGATTCCTGGGAATCGTCATCATCAAATAAAAGGTTTTCTTGTGTTTCTTTGACGTCCTATTGTTCTTTCTGACAGGAATTCTTTGGTGTATTTCTTCAAAGTGTGTTGAAATGGCGTCCTTTATATTTATGTTTTGTTGGAATTTAGTGTCTTTGATTTGGAGGGAAACAAGATGACAGAGTGAAGAGAAATGTCCCCAGTGGAAGGAAAATTAATGTTGCCTATTTAGCCCTCTAGAAATTCGACCCAGGAGATTTTCACAAATTCTCTCTCTTTGGTACAACGTAAGAGTTGACAAAAACCACGTGTGTTTGTTGGAAAGTGTAATTTTCCTTAGGTCGACCTCTCATTCTATTTCGCTAATTTGTTCTCGGCAAATAAAGAGTAACAGACCCCATAATGGAAATTATTAGATGAAACTGCCGATAAATGAGGCATCGTTGATCGTTGCTTTCCTTTATATGGGAGAAAAGGGATTTGGGCCCAGAGTTTCATGCAGCTTGATCGAAGGTCGTTTTGATCTGCATGGTCTTTTCTTTGCTGTGTTTTCCGAATTTTTCTCGAACATCAATGCTGTCTTATTTTTGAATTTGCAACTCGACGATTTTAATGGTTGAAATGACGTGCCACTGGCGTCAAGCTACCAGAGAGTCTGCTACGATTTGTGTTTGATAAATGTATAGGGGTCCCTTAAGCGCTGGAAAAGCGCACAACCGTTTTATCATTGAGAGTCTCAGAGCATCGTGCGACTATATTTCAAAGTAAGCACTTTAAAAGTCCACTTCGATGTGAGAAACTTCTACTTTGAAAATACGATATTTTAACAGAGAATTCACGATGGAATCGGGAGATTAACATATTCGCCGAGAATCAGGAGGCGATGGGAATTCTTTGCATTTCAACCGATAATGATTTGCGCAATGAATTCATAGAGTAAATATACATAAAAATATTTCTTATAAAAATTTTATAGTTTACCACTTTCAAATAATATGTGAAAACGAAATAAAGTTCAATGAACATTCTCATATTGCCTACTTTTTTGTACTTGCTTTCCTAGAACTAGTTTTAAAAAAGCTTTTGTTCAAACGATGTTGAAAGTAAAATAACATTTTTTAAAGATTCGTTTCCCCCAAAAACAAATATACATCTTACTAAAATGAAGTTAACTTCGTTGTTATACAATTGTTGTTACCATCCAATTAAAGCAGCACTTTTCTGCAATGTTTCTGAGGAAATGGGGCAATATACTTGTATTCTGCAGAAAAGATGCATACATTGCTACTCAAATTGAACCAACTTCTAAATTTGAATTTCCATATTTAAACTGGATTCCAAAAAACAGTCTTGGAAACATACAAAGCGGGATCTGTTAACATTTTAACAGCCCCCTTCTGTACTCAAGAAAATATTAACAGCAGTAAAGGAGAATTTCAATTTATTGCGCAACTGCATATATTTGAGAAATGATGCTAGTCAAATGTGGATATAATAATCGAAGATACTTTTGAAGAAATTAAATAGCATGAAAACGTATGACCACTTTGTAAAACTATTCCAAGCGATAAATCAAGCACCCAGCTTTTTGGCATCGTAGACAACTGCAATGGAATTAGTAAAAACTTTTGCCAAAAAACAACAAATGAATATTTCGATTAACCATATTTATTTTCATTCATACGTCCAATCCTTATATCCGACAAAACTCAAAATAAAAGACACCTCAAGATTGACACATATATTTTATATAAGACTATTGAAGTAGAAAAGGCATTGGTTACAGACTAGCAAATACCCTTCATAAAAAACAATGAAAAAAAAAGATAAACAGTGGTTGGAAAATGTGCGAGCAATACAATACGGTGAGCCTGGCATGAAACACAGATGCCTTGGAAAGTGAAATCTGGTGTCCAGGGGAAGTATCCATGTTGACCGATCACACAACTTCAACTTTTCCATATGTAAAAGTATATTCATAATTTCATAAACTAAAAAAAAACGCGTTTGAAGGAAACAAATTGGAAACATTTTGTAAATGTAGGTGTTTTAATCTAAGGTTAAGAAGAATATTCTGTGACTGAATATAAAGAATTCCTTAGTTCCATTCATTTATATTAGGGTAGCATGTATAAATTAACTTTTTAAAAGTAAGATGTTTATCTTTGAATACTCTTATTTGAAATCACAAATTTTCGTGAGGTTTAATTTTCGTTTTTTTTTTCGAGGTATGAAAAGACCCACAATTCATGTCCACCACGAAATGTAAAATGTTGCATACATAACTACTCAAAAATTATCAACGAAATCAAATCCCCATGAAACCTTAGTTTACATAGGCAATTTAGAATGTGAAAAATATTGAAAGAGTACACACATAACTGTTTCATATGATTAACATATGATGCCCCTTTCATATGATTCTCATATGTAAATGGCTTGAAACACACACAGGTGTTTCGTATGATTTACATATGATGCCCTTTTCATATGATTCTCATATGTAAATGGCTTGAAACACACTTAAATCATTCATATGCAAATCATATGTAGTTATCTTCATATGATTCACATATGATGCCCTTTTTCTATGATTCTCATATGAAACCAATCATATGAGAATCATATGATACTCATATGAGAATCATATGTGGCTAAGTTGCCTGTGTATTCCGAAAACCATGAAAACTTTACCCCCTCGAAAATATGTGACTTACAGTATATCAACATGTCTATTCAAGAACAAAAATTATCTTGGTTAATATTCAGGCAGATTCAAATCCACTCTAGGAATTCTCTAACATTAAGAATATCATGCATTGATAAAGAAAAATAAGATCTAGATATTAGATGACTAAAATTCGAACTAGTGTTGGGATTAAGAGGGGGGATTCTGTCTTCAAGAACTTGTGGAAGCTATGGCTTCAAGCAGCAAGAAATATTGTATTAACTAACAGAGGAACAATTTTCTGTAAGCGAAATATCTTCAGTACAAATGGATATCAAAACAATATATCAGCTTATACTGCATAAAATGATTGTGTTTCAGAAGAAAACTTAACAAGAGCTTTAAAGATGATAAGCTTTGAAAAACATTAAACAATATATATTAATTCTTTACTTTTTTCCTTTTAAATTTCACATTGATAGTAACAAATATGTACTATCTAGAAATAATAAATATTTTTTCAAGTCCTTCATCCAAAAATATTTTTAATATGAATATTTATCAGTTATTTTCTATTGTTATAAGCATTATATGGGTAGTAAAAGATTGATGTATATAATCAAGAATAGAGCAAATAAAGTGTCTTCTTGAGGGTTTCGTAGCAATGTCGAATTTTATGATAAATGCTTACATTTGCAAATGATTATTGATTCAAATGATGGCAAACACAGCGGTCACAGAAATGTTTTCAGGTGTGTTCATTTTCCAGATTGCATTTCGCTTCATAATACACAGAGTATCGGCTGGTTATACTACAAAACTAATAGAAATTTTATAAAGACTCACTTTTTTATATAACTTGTTTGCCATAATTTTCAGACTGCATTATCTACGGATTTTTTTTCATTTTCTCGATCATGACAAATAAGGAGTACACGGCAAATGTTCCGTTCGAAGACAGGGATGCTTACATCTCCATGACACCTGAATCTACCTCTGTAGTTTTTAGAGTCGATGCGAGTTTGCTATGCCTCAAAATTGCATCGTGTCAAGAAACTTTTTAGATGATAACTTTTTTTATTTTTCATAGTTTAATAATTATAAAAATCGCATAGGTTTTGTTTAAAGCTCGCATGTACCAAATTGAAAAATGTTAACAATGAATGAAAATCTTAAAAACAGAAGAGAATTCGAAGATCTGTTCTAACCCAGAACCTCGGTGTAACCAAAATAATTATATGCTGTGCATCAAAATAAAAACTAGTTTTTTTTTCTTACAATTTAAAATAATAAATTCTTAAACTACATGTATCACATCATTTACAATCATTCTGTCAAATGAAATGAATGAAAAATTCAGCTGATTGGAGTTGGAGTGTGTCACTTGACACATAAACATTACACTGACTGATCGGGTTTCCACTGCCAAAATTATCTAAAAGATACGTCACCTTCGGAAGTGAAATTCTCTGTTGGAATGTAAAAAAAAATTAATAATTTAGAAGCTTCATTTTTGAGCTGGTTTAAATTTTCTCTTCCTAGTTATCGTTCTTATTACAGTGCAGATAGACCTCCAGTATTCCAAAAATATACAAAGGAGTGACACTTTGTATATTTTTTTGGAATACTGGAGGTAAAAAAAAAAACAGACAAATTTGTTAAGGAGTATAGGACACTTAACAGATTTGTGTTGTTTTTTTTTGTTGTTTTTTGTTTTTGTTTGTTTGTTTGTTTGTTTTTTTGTTTATCGTCTCTTTCGAGAATTTTTCACTCATACAGAGACGTCACCACATGCCGGTGGTAACAAAAATAAGAAGTATATTTTATATAATTACAGTAATTTCAATAATAATAATGTTATTCTATACTTCTGAATAACTAGTACATAATATAAATGATTTTTATCCTAAAGTATAAGTAAAAGTGGAATGAAGTTCCAGTATCTAAGCCAAAACAATTTTCTTTAGGATTGTCTTATAAGATGTATCAACATGACACTGGAATAAGTCCTGAGAAACGTAAACAGCGGCGAATCAGAACCACGTTTACCAGCGCACAGCTGAAGGAATTGGAAAAGGCATTCGCCGAGACTCATTATCCTGACATCTACACGAGGGAGGAGATTGCCATGAAAACAGACCTCACAGAAGCCAGAGTACAGGTAAAAACAAAGTCTCTGGTTAGATAAGTAAAAATCAGGAAACTATAATGACATTAGTACAAGATAAAACATTGACATGGATACAGACCTCACAGAAGCCAGAGTACAAGTAAAAAATTACTCTCTAGGTCATACAAAATAAATAAAAATCAGCATACATAAAAGCACTTGAAATTATTTTTTAAAAATCGAGGTTATCTGTACAAGAGACATTCAAAGTTAAATGTGTAGAGATTTTAGAGACAAAGATATTTTTCTCACTAGATAAAGATAGTCAAATGCATGCTCAAGGTTAAATCAATGGGTATCCAATTCTACTGAAATTAAAGAATGACTGCACTTAAGCTATGAGAGTTGGATCCCGATGTTTTGCGCAAAATAAAATTCCAAAATTCATTAAATTTATGTTTTATAGGTATTAAACAATATCTTAAGAGCAGGTTTTGGTATATTATATTACAAGAAAATATAAAATAATGCCGAGCGACACTAGCTTTTGAGACGGGGATCTAACAGTTTTGTCTCATTTCTATTGTTATTCATATGCATACCCGTTTTCAACGACTTTGTTTACAACAACTTGGCCATTTTTCTTATTTGCACAGAATGTGTATTTAAACTTAAACTTATACATATCCAAAGGACAATGTTGGCCAAGTTGCGGCTCATATCTAATTTTAAAAAAAATGTCACCCAACTAGGGTCCAAATAGCTACTAAATTAACCGGTCACCGAGCATCAACGATTGATATTATAATCCCCTTTCTCACGTGACCTTCTGCTGTTTGTTCGATACGCTAACGCTTTCATTGAAAAGAATGACTGCACTTAAGCTATGAGAGTTGGACCCCGATGTTTTGCGCAAAAATAAATTCCTAAATTCATTAAATTTATGTTTTATAGGTATTAAACAATATCTTAAGAGCAGGTTTTGGTATATTATATTACAAGAAAATATAAAATAATGCCGAGCGACACTAGCTTTTGAGACGGGGATCTAACAGTTTTGTCTCATTTCTATTGTTATTCATATGCATACCCGTTTTCAACGACTTTGTTTACATCGAGCCGCAACTTGGCCATTTTTCTTATTTGCACAGAATGTGTATTTAAACTTAAACTTATACATATCCAAAGGACAATGTTGGCCAAGTTGCGGCTCATATCTAATTTTAAAAAAAATGTCACCCAACTAGGGTCCAAATAGCTACTAAATTAACCGGTCACCGAGCATCAACGATTGATATTATAATCCCCTTTCTCACGTGACCTTCTGCTGTTTGTTCGATACGCTAACGCTTTCATTGAAAATTTCATTGTGTTTAAGTCTCTGTTGTGACAGTATCTATCATACTTCCAACTTAAACTATGGGAGATTTTTGTGCAAATTTTCATGAGGTTTGAAGATAATATGTCTCTTATTTAACTTTATGCTTTTCATTAGGGGTGTTTTGAAAGAATTATGGTATTGACAGTGTCATTAGTAAGTACATGTATAGGCTTATGTCGCCTCTGTATTATGGTCTGCAGAGTGAGACATCTACCCCATGCCTTAAAATTAGAATCATTTAATAATTGTGCACCATAAAATCAACACGATCTCTCTTTCTCTTCTCCATTTCAATTCGTAGTGCGGAAAAATCATATGTGCTAATGTTTACATTCCACAACTATGCGGTTTAAATGTCTCCGCCTATTTGCGGATACCTTAGATTCGAAAGTGGTCCCGTTCAAATTTCCGGAATTTAAGGCTTTTACATGTTCTTTTCAATTACATTTCCTGTAATTATAGAAATATGTATGACAAAAAAATCTAGAAATAAATATCAAAAGCATATGCTTGCACATTAATCATAGATTAATTTAGCGATATATTGTAATGTTAAGCTTAAAATGGGTAGCCGAAAAGGTTCCAAATGACGTACTTAAGTGCACTCATTCTTTCATTGTGTTTAAGTCTCTGTTGTGACAGTATCTATCATACTTCCAACTTAAACTATGGGAGATTTTTGTGCAAATTTTCATGAGGTTTGAAGATAATATGTCTCTTATTTAACTTTATGCTTTTCATTAGGGGTGTTTTGAAAGAATTATGGTATTGACAGTGTCATTAGTAAGTACATGTATAGGCTTATGTCGCCTCTGATTTTACCCCATGCCTTAAAATTAGAATCATTTAATAATTGTGCACCATAAAATCAACACGATCTCTCTTTCTCTTCTCCATTTCAATTCGTAGTGCGGAAAAATCATATGTGCTAATGTTTACATTCCACAACTATGCGGTTTAAATGTCTCCGCCTATTTGCGGATACCTTAGATTCGAAAGTGGTCCCGTTCAAATTTCCGGAATTTAAGGCTTTTACAGGTTCTTTTCAATTACATTTCCTGTAATTATAGAAATATGTATGACAAAAAAATCTAGAAATAAATATCAAAAGCATATGCTTGCACATTAATCATAGATTAATTTAGCGATATATTGTAATGTTAAGCTTAAAATGGGTAGCCGAAAAGGTTCCAAATGACGTACTTAAGTGCACTCATTCTTTAATGTATCATGTACATGAGTAGTAAAACATTTGCTGTGCTGTGGCCTTAACTTCTACTCGACATTCATATGTATCGACGGCGTATTAACAATTGACAATAGTTACTTCCAGCCACATGTCCTTGTGAGCTTGAAAACGATACCACTGAGTCTGTTTCATATTACGATATTTTATTATTAGAAAACAAAAACGTTCATGACAACATAACAACAATACGTGATGACTTCAACTTTTTAATCGTCAACTTTTCTTTATGACCATGCATATCGGGTTTATATTTCTCATTTGATTCGATAGGCAAGAGCATGTTCTACGTACAACCAATATCTATATAAAACAAAACAAAAACAATCTATCAATATGTCAAATTATGATGGATCTTTTATTCTTATTGTTAGGTCGTTATTTACACAATGAATTGTCGGGTTTCCCGTTATTTTTCGATCATGACAAGGAGCACACGTCAGGTGTTATTGGTCGGCAGGAGATGTTCACTCCTCCATGACACCTGATACATCTGATGTTTTAGAGGTCCGTGTTTGCTCTGTTCTTAGTTTGTACTGTTTGAATGGACTTTTGAGCTTCAATATGGTTCACTATGTCCATATTTCACGGACAATAACAAGTGATATTTAGTTTTTTTTCAACAAAGATATATCAGATGTAAAGATGTTTCAAGGGTACGGATAAAGACGCAGTGTCTCGAGGAAATTTTAAAAAATATGGTTACAGGCATAGAAAGTTACCTGTAAAAACAGAAGGGTACATATACCAACTGTCTCAAGCCAGATATTAAATATTGAAAACTAAAGGAAGTTTATTCAGGAATAAATCCACTTACGGTATTATAAACCAGCGTACTGTAAGGCCTGGCTCAGCATATGGCCAAAATATTAATTTTCTTTTATTATACAATTCCCGGCATGAAAAATACGATGCTTCATATCAATATTTTATTCTCTTGTACATTCATTTTTTTAAAAAAAACTACTATTATTTCTTAACACTGTAACGAAGGGAATATTTTAGTTTGTTTTTGGTCAGTGTATAGATTTTCATACAAAGGACAATCCACCGCTTTTATTTTAGGTCTGGTTTCAAAATCGTCGAGCAAAATTCCGGAAAATGGAAAGAGCCAAGCAGCAACAGCAACAAAGTCAGTCAAGTTCCTCAGTTAAACAGGAACCCAGCAACACCAGTGGAGGCAGCAACACAAGCAACAACAACAATACAAGCAACTCTAACAACAACAACAATAACAACACATGCAAAGACAAAGTCATCAAGTCAGAAGAGGCTCAAAGTGAGACGAAATTTCATTTTATTGGGACTTTTATTATATATTTAAAAAAAAACAATTTCAATAAGAGTTTTAAAAATTGTGTAAAGAACTTATTTTATTTTCCATCAAGTTTGAATTACTTAAAATCAATTTTTTTCACAAAGTTTAACTACTACGTCACATGAATTTCTTATTTTTTTTAAGCAAAAATTTATTCTGTTCTTTTCCTGTCAAGTGAGAAATATATTTTTAATGATTCTACATACCTTTTGGTAATCGATGTCCAAACTTTGTTTTATTATCTGAGAGAAATCAAATAATTGCAATGATATTTAATATTGTGAAATTCTTTTAACAGCTAAACCTCAGACAGAGGGATCAAAATGGCATTCTACTGTATCGAGTGGAAAAGTGACGCCATCTTTATCCAACGCTCCATCACTTCCGGGACCGTACTCCAGTGTGCTAAATTCACATGGGCACGAATTTCATCATACCTCATCATTGGAAAAGGGCGTTTCTCTTGCTGGAGGAATTTTTTAATGCTGTATTACAAAAATACTAAAATGTATTACATGCGATTTTAAATAACAATAGAATTATTGACTTGGACATGCATTCTATCTGCGTCTTCCTTTTAAAATTGCATTTTTCCTCTTCCTTTTCTGACATTGCACACTAAATTACACGTTTGCAATACTCAAGATTGTGAAGTAGATTACAAATATTAATAAGACAGTATTATATATGAACAATATCCAACCTTGTGCAGTGAATTGTTCTACGTGTATCTATTTGATTGTCATTGATCATATGTACTTATTTCATTGTAAATAAATGGTTGTCCATTATCCGTATTTCAACAAATTTGAAATAGAAACAATTCTAACCATTTCATAGTTCTAGTTATAAACATTTACAACATTATTTATGTCCATATATAAATCATCAACATCGCAAACTGAAATACGTCGCAAAAACTACCTTTAGAAATTCTTTATTCAAAATGATTTCAAGAACTAATCAAACTAATACATTATTGTGGAAAAATCTGTCTACAGATTCCAAAATGGTTTATGCTTGAAAATCATTCAAAGGGAAATAACTTTATTTTAAGTTTTTCCTATCAACTTCATTGTTTGTCAGTAGAAAAAAAGATACGTTAAAAATGACATCCACTTACGGTTTTCCTTGACAACATGAATGTATGGTAGCACTTTTCTGTTTTTTTTTTCATCTTGATGTTCAAAACTGAAGTTTAAAAAACATATTTTGTCTCTCTTAGTTCTTGTATTTTTTAAATAGATTAAGGCAATTTTACATTCTTAAATGTGATAAAATGCAATAAAAATATGAATTCATTTTTTAAAATGTCTTGAATCTCTCATCGCATTTTATATTTTTTAAAAAATGCCAGTTCGCATTTTTTAGACTTGTATTAAAGCTCATCTTAATTAAGAGATATCAAAGGACATATATTGAACATTTAAATGGTTTCGTAAGAATGCTCAAAGGTTTATAAAGAACTTATAACATTTTAGCTTGAGATGTTACACGATAAGTCACATACTTCAATGAAGCCGTAATATAGCAGTAAGGCGACTATGAACAATTTCACTTCTATCTTTGAGTTTATTTCAGCAATTTCCTTTCCTTCTCATAACTTTGATGTAAGATAAAGAATAGAGACGAACAATAAAATATAAAGCTTGTGCTATCATTTCATCATAAAAGGAAAGTTTCATGTATCTGTGAGAAAATTTTCTTCAAACATATGTTGAAAATAACAATTGAAAATGAAAGTTTGGAGGCAATGAAACTATTTCCAAATCAACACTTCATCTAATAATTTGATATTTATGTAAATGATATTAACATCATAAATGTTATGAATTGTACTACATTGGCAAAAAGAACTATCTAGCACTACGGATACTACCATTGACAAACTTTGAACAATTGCCACTCCAATCTCTCTCTTTTGATTTAACTAGAATGTATCTTTTTTCATATATAATCTGAGCGTTCACAATGCAAATTCCAGTAAATTGTCATGACAAATGAAGATATAAAAAAGGCACAAATAGTTTTTAAAAAAAATTTTCTGAGGTTGTTGATCAATTTCTTACATGATAATCTAAATGTTTTGATACATAGAACGCAAGAAATAATAATTAACTGACAGAAATACTAGTTTAAATAAGGATTCAAGAATTTTTTTAATTTCTGTTTCTCCATATGTTGAGGATTCAGTATTTACGGTCAATAATCAGTCGATCTTGACTAACATCCCACTCAGTGTTGAAATCTTATCTTAAAAGATAAAGAACCTCTAACACCATAAAATCAATCCATAGGTCACACAACCACTCGATGTGGTCAGGTTATAATGTCAAGACTTTCAATTATATATCTATAGAGAAGAAAGTCAGCAAATGCAGAATACCAAGGATAAAAAGTTTATTATTTTGTCTCCAGAACGAAAATTTAACTTTCTCACATCAAAATCCAAAGATGTTAAAAAGAAAAAAAAATGGAATAAATTTCAAACATGTATTAATGATCTAAACGTTTAAAAAGCAAAACAACAATGTTAATTCAACAAAGCAAACTAATTCCATTTTACAATATGTTCAAGTTTAATCTAAAGCAAATAATTTTGACCAAGATAATATAAAAAAAATTTTCAGGTCATTGAATATTATGCGTTTTTAAAGAGTTGTATGATCTATGAAAGATCAGAGATATATATCACTTTCACTATTTATTGTACCCAGTGTATTATTGCAATTAAGAAGCAACCACTTGTAAAATTCAAGTCACACTAGGGTAATGGTCCAATTGTGGTTATTACTTATAGTTGGCACTGTTGAATCAGATAAGCATTGGGATATATGTCTCATCGTACTCTACTTAAAATTCACTTCAAAGACACCACCAATACCGCCATTCACAGGCAGGTATTTCACTGACAATTTAATTTCACCTCATAATCTTTTCTGTGCGACTTTAGGATAATTTTGACAAATATGGATGAAATATTACGCAAAATCATGAGAAGTGAAAGCAGTGATCCTCCGCAAAGGGTCAAACGGCAAACCATAGCTCGAGTCAAACCCCATATTTACCGTTTTATGACTTTGGCAAATTATGGGTTAAACAAAAATGTTCTTGTCATAAAACGGATGTATATCAACCGCTATTAAGCTTTAAAGCGATGAACCATCTGTTTTTGGTGTGGGTAAACAGACACGATCTGTTCTATAAAGTATAAATAAAAAGTATAGATTGATAGTATGCAAAAAGTGAATGCTGAAAAATAAATTGCTGTAAAAAAAATGAAAAACACATTTATCATGGTTTTGTTTTTCAATTGTTAACGAAATGAGCTTAAAACATAGCCATTGTAGTTAGTTATTTAGTTAGGGGTGGAATGTAATTTTTTCAAATTATCTTTTGAGTTGACACAAGATGCCAAGAAACAAAACATCATACTAAACAAGTATCTAACTTTTGTGTCTGGATATGTCTGTCTTGTAATTTGTTTTCTTCACATAAACTAACCAGGCGCTTTGTTGGACAACACTTCAATCATCCGGGTCCTAGAGGACACGAGATGCAGGCATATGACGGCAGGTGGCGCCTTGTGAACCCTTCGAATGATCACAGTTTAATCATGATGTCGTAGCAGTAATTAAGTTACTATCGATCCCGATTTTTATAATTGGTAAAATGATTTCCCAGATGGTTAGAAGAATGTCATGCTACCTCATCTCTGTAGACACAGAACCATTATCGTTCCTTTCATAAATGATTGGAGCTATTTCTATTTTTCAAACCATTTTTCTACAGCTGAAAATTAAAACTCCTCTTGGAAATAATCTTGATAATTTAATTGCATTGGAGAATTCAGATGATTGGCCACAAATTAATTCTTATGGGAATTCTATTTAAGTAAACTGCAACTTGTTAAGTATCAATTTTGGATATAAATGTATTTTTATGGTCAGAAGATAAGAATTTCTTCTAATCAAAAAGATGACAATTCTTGGATTAAAAATATACTTTTATGATTTTAAACAAAATAAAAATTTAAATGGCATATCGAAGCTATGTCTGTGGTTTCCTGAATCTAATTAAGTGTCATTAAATCGGTTAAAATTAAACAGGAACTCTAGTGATTGTTAAGACATATTGGCAAGATTGAAAAAGTGAGTAAAGTTAAAATTGAAAAATTATTTTATTTTACTTTAACATTTGTTTTCTATTAAGGAAAATGAAAAACTTGTAGATTTCTACATTGCAGAGCTCAAGAAAAAAGAAGAGATAAGAATATTTACATGGACACAAAGGACATTTTTTTTTCCTAAAAATACCATATAGTCACAGCAGTCTCCCTAACACAGACAGCTGCATGCAAAAGCACTCGAGGAAAGTCATTGTTTTGCACGGTACAGTAGATACTGGTCCCTGGCGACAAAGCAGGTAAGAACATTGTCTTCTATTGTAAGGCTCATTATATTACATGTAATTGTATTTTAGAAGAACTTAGATTTAATTCTACAAGTGGTAATCCAACTTATACTCATAGTTTCTTTTCTAAGGAAGACATTCTTCAAAATCCCAAAGATCCAAAATGAACTACCATATCGATATTGGATTCCGAAACTTATCTATGCAATAATATATATTTAAGAATTGGTGTAAATCATATGTGAAAATTCCAAGGAACTTTTGGACAATTCGAAATCACAGCATTTTACAAAATTCAACAGCTTACAGACTTACGGCTTTTTTAAATATCATTGACAGCTGCTTTTTAAAATTATTTTTAAGTCCCGCTATTAGTACTTTTGTATTCATATGAAGCAGAATTTGTCCAAAATCTTATACGTAAAAAGAAGAAAACACTTCCTTGTGGCCTTCAACTCGACATTTAGATATATCGACGACGTACTGTCAATTTATGATGGTAACTTTCATTCTTATTTTGATACGATATATCTCGGTGAGTTTGAGATAAAAGATACCACAGAGTCTGACACATTTGTTTCATATTTGGATATTTTACTTGAAAAAGATGTTAATAGCAATCTAACAACCAAGCTCTATGATAAACTTGATTACTTTAACTTGACAATCGTCAGCTTTTCTTACTTATGCAGCAATATACATGTACCCCGATTACCTGCATACGGAGTTGATTCGATACGAAAGAGCATGCTTTACGTATGAACAATTTCTAAAACGAGGTAAATTATTAGTATTGACAATCAAGTTGATGAAACAAGAATATCAGCAGTCTCGTTTAAAGTCATCATTTTGTAAGTTCTTTGGTCGAAACAATGACCTTGTCAGAAAATACAATTTAACATTGAGTCATATGCTGACTTACTTTTTTCATACTAATTGTTAATCCATTATTTCTACGCTGAATTGATTTTTCCGTTATTTCCTGATCATGAAAAGGAGCACACGGCGGGTGCGACCGGTCGGCAGGGGATTCTTACCATCGTAATGACAATGATCCCACCTCTGAAGTTTTGGAAGCCCGTGTTTGCTCTGCACCTATTTTGTATTATTTTATGAATTTTTGATCTGGAAAACTGTTAGTTATCTCCGTATGTTTCATTCTAACTGAACTGGGGTATAAACATGTAGTCCCCATATACAGGTGATAAGGTATAGTGCTAGATAAGTAAGAGAAGTTGACGATAGAAAAGTTTAAGCAATCAAGTTTATCACAGTTTTATCGTTAAGTTACCATAAAATTCTCTTTCTAAGAAAATATCTAAATAAGAAACAGATGCCTCAGACTCTGAGGTATCTTTTATTTCAGGTTCGCTGATTC